TGGCGGGAGCTCGGTTACGGAGAAAGCCAGCGTGTCTGGAAAAGCAGTTACTCCATTGACTTGGTCCTGCAAACTGTTTTCCACAGACATCTTTGCTCGCGGAAGTGATCCGGCTGAAGTACCTCGTCATGCCAAAAGGCAGTTTTGGGGGTCGGATCTGCAGCCGCTTCTGAGCGATTCAAAACGTTTGCAGTAGGAAGACAAAAGACTGCATGGCTTTGCTTTTTTCTTAATTTTAATCGAGTATATGAGACTTAAAGAGCATTTCCTCTTCCGTTCCAGTTTATGAATGGCATATTTTTTTACGCATATAGTAAACTAAAAGGCTACTTGGTGCTTTAAAAAGAGAATTCTCACAGTCATTAAAAATTTGTTTCCTTCCTCTGGCTGGTCATTATTTTTCTCTTTATGAAAATCACATCTCCCTTGAGATCCTTCTAGTTGAACTAGGAAAGATAAAAGGGAACAAGGAGAGTGTGTAGTAGATTCAAAACAAGAAAAAATCGAGGCTTCTGAGAATTTCACTCAAGGAACTACTGGTGAAGCTATGTAGGGATTGACCCAGATGGACTTGGTCCAAAGCTTCAAGGCCACATCTGTGCTTTAAAACCCATACGTTTCAAACACAGGCAGGAAGAAGTTAGACTTGGGAGCTCATCTGAACTGGAGATTCAAAGCATATGGAGTAATGCTTCTGCATGGGATTGGGATGGGGAGAGGAGGGTCAGGCTCGGAGCACATTTTTAGAAGAAATTCCAAAGCACATGGATGTGGTGAAGGGCTGGTATGAAGCAACTGTGCAACACAGCCATTGGAAAGCCATTACATGAGCTATGTGATGCCAAATTGTTCTTGGGATGACTGCAAAGTCATTCCTCACGTTATTTCAACTATTTATCAGTCTAGCAAAGAAAACACTCGCGTTGTGAAATGCAGCCATTGCAACAGCATCAATTGCCTGTCAAATAACTAATAGCATGCATCTTTTGAATTTCTTTCTTTTTTATGTATTTTAATAATTTATTTGGCCCATTTTTTATGTTGTGTATTTAAAGTGACATATTTGTTCCTTTGAAGATTTTGGGGAGGAGAAGGAGGGAAGGAAAGATTTAGATGAAGCAGACTCCTTGGGGCATCAGCTCACCTAGACAGTGAAAACTTGTAAAAAACTCTCTGATGGATATTAAGACATTTGAAATTGTAACCCTCGTTTTATTTCCTCCTCAGCTCAGTCTGTACTCTTGAATATCCTTTTGTTTACTTAATCAGCAAACATTTTATTTGGGTTATCATTTATCTTCACTATTTACAAGAAACAGAAGATACCTCTGTGGATTTGCCCCCCCAGATAATATGGCCTTATTAATTTCTTTTGTGAAATAGTGCCTCCATCATCCAGCTCAACTGGACCTCAGAAATGTCACAAGTTTCAGCCCAGCATGTTGGGGAAAGAGCCCCCACCTTCACGGAGAGTACAAAGGGCCTCTTGTGTCACCTCTCCATAGACCAAGGAACGTGTGTTTGTACCACTGTCACTGTTGATTCATATTGCTTTCATACATGCAACATTGCCTAGATCTTAAAGTAAGCCCTTCTCAATTACAATCAATAATGTACCCTGCAAAAACAAGAGCAAACCTGACCCCAAAATCCCCAACTTCACTCACAGTCTGAGCATCCAGTGTGTCCTTGGTCATGATGTTCAAGTGCAGGAACAATGAGACGCAGACCCCTAACTTTTTGTGGAGCAGGAATCACAGATGTGGGAAGTTTCCTTCTACATGGGAAAGTCTTAGCTACACTTAAAGGGACAAATCTTGAGATTCTGGGTATGTCTTTGATCAGACAAATTCTGGTTGATTTCAGGAGGCGTTAGAATGGTGTAACAACTGAAAAGGGACCTCAGGAGTTGGCTCAGTAGAATCATAATGATCCTCAAAACTACAGAGACTTCGAGGCACACAAAGCCTTTTGTTTTTCCTTCCATGGAGCCAGAAGTGTGTTAAGTAGTGACGTCTAGTAAAATATCAGAGTAAAGTACACCATTCATAAAACTGCACGGATGATTAAAGGGTCTCTAATTCAACCCAGTGACCCCAATGGAATTTTTAAAGTTTGAAAGCCATGACGTAGAGTATTATTCATTGCCCTTTCATTAGTGCTGACTACGCTCTAATTTTTCAGAGGATGGAAAACCTTTTTGAATCTTGTTATAAAACAATCTGGTTGATAGGAAACAAATGTATCCTACCAAGAAACAAGTGAATAAGACCACTCTGGGAATTAATTTCCAATATTCAGTGGCATAGTGAAATTAATGACAAAACTTGCAATAGCAAGACTTACCATTTGCTAGATTAAGAGGATCTCTGTACTACTGAAGGTTGCTTTGATGTCCAACAAAGAATAGGGACTCATCTAGAGCTCCCATCTGCACAGTGATAATAGACCAAAAAAAAAAAAAAGTCTAGTTTGACTCTTTATTTGTGCATTAGCTACAGAAGAGAGGGCAAAAAAACAAATGCTGATCTAGTATATGGTGATTAAAGTAAACTAGCATGTAAAAGATTCAGATTCAACATGTGCATGAAGACAACAGAGCATGGCATAAGGCTACCTGAAAACAAGTGTCCTAAAGCAGTTGTTCAGAGGCTAGGGTAGAAATACTGTACAACACACTAATCGTGTACCTGCCCTTGGACTTGTAAATTTAGTTGGAGAACACATAGGACTCCTACACTAGCCTATCACAGGAAATTAGTCCCAAATAGCTGACAGGACTCACCTCCTCATTAGGAAGACCTAAATGGTAAGCTTGGAAAATCCCTGTGGCCAGCAAGAAGACTGAGCCTTGCCCAGCATACAAGCTATGTGCCATAGGCACTGCTGGCAGTGTTCAGGCTCTGTTGGTGCTGAGGCGGGGTAGCAGTGCTGCATTCCTTCTGCCATGACACTGCTTGCTCTAAGGGGGAGGGCAAATACAAAGAGCAGCTGTCTGAGTAACAGGGTCAGGAGTAGGATAGTGCTTTCCAGTTCTTCAGCTTCACCTCCCTTTTTTTTTCCCTCTCTAGCCAGGCTCCCATCCAACTGAAGCTGTGGGAAATCTGACATTGGATTTCCTAAGTCTCAGATGTGTGTTGTCCTCTTCCACTTGGATGTGTCATGCAGGCCCTGCTAGACTACCTGTGCTTCTTACGAAGGAAAAAAAGGGTTTGTAATTCTCCAAAAATTGTACACAGAGGCAGTAATGTGCAAACAGTGCTGCTCTTCCACTAATCTAAATTAATTTAAATCTAAATCTAAATCTAAAGTAACCACCATCTATATTTTGCAGAAATGTTTTGAGAAAGGGTTGCTTAGTTGTGAAGGAGAAAATGAACTGATTTTTGTGCTTTCAGCACCATTGTCTGGGACGAGATGAAATATAAGTTAGAAGATTTTGGGGATTCGTTTGATATAGAATTTTGATCTCCGTTGTTCTCAAAATCATGAGGCACAAATCCCACTCAACCACCATTTCAGCCACCTTCTGGTTAGTTTCTTTTCTTACTCCATAAACAAATAATTGCTCACAGCAATGACACCTCTTCAATGATTGCATCAGATGATTTCCTGCTGTTAATGCACTTAAGGGTCACAATCCTGGCACTGCAGGTACAACGGATCCGTTTAATAACATTTAAATTTTGGGAGTGACCATATGAGTGCTTTGACTGCTCGTTCCTAAGATGGTATGCCTGTCAAAAGACACTTCCAGCTTTGGGGTCTTTGCCTTTGGTACCTAAAGTCTTGGCAGTTTTTTCAGCACTTTTGCCTCAGGCTTTTTTGCCGTCTGGCATGTCAGCACCTACTAGCTTTAGCAACTTTGCAGCCTTGGCTTACTGCTTCAAAGCTTTGGCATGAGCGTGCACTGTGGCATCTTTTCAACTCCAAACCTACTTGCTTCACAGGTTTTCTTTGTGTTTTTTTTTTCAGGATGTCAGCAACTGCCCTGACCCTAGGGAGGAAGAAAGACTGATCAGCAAGTTCAAACAGTGTCTGTGCAGCAGAAAGATGTCTATCACAAATGAGCAGATTCACTCACTACATCACTTGCCGAGGAGGGAGGGATTCTGCGCAAGGGTGCCAGATATCATTGTACATGCCTAGGTACCATGAGAAGTTTTTCCAGGCCTTCTTTAAGATTATATTTGTACTTCTTCTGAAAGCCTGCAATGATGGGATAGAGAAATCTCTGGAAATTTCGTCGTTAAAAAGCTACGTCCATACTACTGTGGATCCATCGAAGTTTTTACTCTTTCACTTGTCTTCAAAGCTGATAAAATACACCATGTGGAGAGAGCTGTCGTGTTTAATAAATAAGATGCTTCCCAAGATGATGACCAGAAGAACGGCTAGATATCCTTTGTACCACCTGCACTAAATCCTCCTTTCAGGTAGTACCACTTCTTTGAATTGCATTCAGGAATCTAAAATCTTCAGATGGAAGAATACACAGCGATGTGGGGTGTTTAGGCTCATGCCAGCTTCGTCTTTGTTCTCGCTACCTATTACTGTGGAAGCCCCCATCAGCTACTGCCTTCATTGAAGACCTGAGTGTTGGCAGAGCTAGAAGACTGTTCTGTTAGAAATGCTCTGTCATTGTGAACTGGTAACTGTCACCAGTTACTGTGCCTGGTTCTGTCCTGCAAATTTTCTTTCAAATGACTTTGCCCGTCCAATTCCATAAACCAGACTTCAGCTCATCAGAAAATTGGAAGATGGAAAAAAAACCTCAACACTGAATAAGATCTAATAACAGTGAGACTAATGCTATGAGATCTCTTTCTAATGCTTTCCTAGCAATTTGAGAGATCTTTCAGTAGATTTTAATAGATCTAGAAATGCCTTTGACCTGGAATCTGACTGGAAAAGCCACCAGAAAGAATTCAAAGATTAAACGGAATTACCAGGATTTTTTCTGTCAAGTTTCCCCAAGGAAAACACAGTTCTTTCCCAAATAAAATGGACTTACAGTTTATTTACAAATCTGAAACACTGTGGATGTCCTTCATTAAAAAAAGGCAATCCTTGATCTATTTTGAAGTGTAATTTTTCTGCAGGATTTTTCCAGTGGGTATTTTGATATTAAATAAAAGCTGCTAACAACTATAACAATATAGAGAGAAAGTGGAAAAATAACTTTAGCCGAC